TATGCAACCATGTGAAAGCGAATTGAGCACTGACTAACACTGCGAGGGATGGTCAGGCAATCTGTATGCAGGTTGAATGACTACAGGGCTAGCACAGCCCCAGCTACGTGAAATCACAAAATATGTGCCTGTAGGTGTCTTCCAGCACTGCTCTAGCAGATATGAGCTGTTGCTGAGGGGGCAGCAACTCTCAGTCTGTAGCTGCAGCTCCATGCCTCACTTGCTCTATAACCCGGGTAAGGTATCAGTTATGCATAGGACGCCCAGCTGCATTCATCACATAAAAGAGGATTAGAAGGAGATAGCCCGACTAACACAAAGCCCCAGGTGTGTAAAGAGCTGGCCAGAGAAGCACGAGTGAGACTTTTTAGATGAGCATTTTTCAGTGGGCGTAATTCATGCTTCTGTGTTCTATTTCATGTAAGTGCAATATTGGTATTTATGCTTTGCACAAACCATGAGATATTAAAAAAATGAAACTACTGTCTTTGTATAATGTATTGCTATTAGTCTTCAGCTATGTCACCACTGGGAACCAAAACTACTGCTCTGTGGCATGGAGGCACACCATGGAGCACGAGCCACCCGGTGTCTATCCTCACCCTCCAGAGCAACGTGGACTTCTGCAAACTAACACTGAAGAACTGCCTCTACCGTGCCAAGTCCTAAACTATGCCCAGCTACTGTCTGGGAACCCAACACAGGCCATTACTATGCCAGACCTTCCTGACTCAACAGGACGGACAGTAAGAGACGTGTGATGTGCAGACCTCCTGTTGCTACTTGCGTTTCCTGAAATTTCTTCCTCAATAGTAGTACTTTTAGCACTATTCTCTTCTGTTTTGGCAGGCACTACAACCAACCACTGTTTGCTAAACCATAACATCTGATTAGAAAAAAAGTCACTATCATAAGCAAACATTCTGCTTCTTAACTTGCTGCTGTTTATCTGGTAAGTTTCGTTGGATACCATTATGAGTCTTTGGATTACAGAAAGAGAGGCTAAGAGCAGAAGGCAGTTTAGTTTCAGAGACTTCTTCCAGACTGTATCCATTATGGCCATAAGAGAGAAAAGAGACTGTTACTCATGAACACATTCTAAACACTTCTCTTTTTTGAAACAACTTACTTAGTAATCATTATCATGGCTCTGGCCCTCTCATTTAATCTCATCTGCCTGCCTCTAAATTCATGGAACAGATTCGTACTGCCTTGGACCCCGTGCAATTGGCTGCTGTGATATTCTTGGACTTTTTTTTTTATAAAAACATTTGATACCATTAATCATATTGCCATATGTAATAAATTGGCTGCCTGTGGCACATCGCCTCGAACTGTCACATGGTTCCAATCACAATTCTGCCAACTGAAAGTGGTTGTTGGAAACTCTGACTCTTCCTCTCCGGGTGCGCCAGTTGCAAGGTCTGCAGGGCTCTGTCCTGTTTGTACTGTACATTAATGACCTGCTGGCTGCCTCACAGTACAGAGGCCAGGAGTTACAAGTCCGCACATGTTTGTAAGTGCCGCTGTACATAAGCAATAATCTGTTTGATATCAAAGTCACATCATTACGGAGTCAGCTTTTTGACAGCATTTGCGAGGTTTGAAGGCTAATTCAGTACATCTCTAATTTGCAGTTTAAATATCTGCCAGAGTGAAAGGTGGGGAAGCTGGGGGAAGGTATTAAATTTAGCTGTGTAGAATAATTCAGGGAACAAGAACACTGCTCCTGTGATTCGGCTTTTGTGACTGTCAGGGCTCTTGTCAAGTCACAGCTGGAATGCTGTGGATTTGTAAGAACAATAGAGTTATTTGGGAGAGGAGGTGGGGAGAAAAGAATAAAATGCTATTTGTAGCACTTCAGCTAACACTTTGACACAGGTTCTTTGGATCTTTCTCAGTAGGTATGGACAGACTGGTTTAAATAAAAAAACCCCACAAAACACAACTCTTGATCCTTTACCAAAGTTTGCCTTGAATCTTTTCTCAGACCAAACTGTCTACTGACCTTAGAGCTGAGCCCAAAAAAAACCAGCACTAGTTTTTAATATTATGAAGTGTCTTTCCACATGGCAGCCGGACACAGGGAAGGGAAAGGAGGCTGCTGTAATGAAATAACTAATGATCATCTATATTAGACCCCTAGTCATGGATCAGGGCATCACCACATTAATTATGGTGGAAATGCAGAACAAAGACAGCTTCTGCACTCAGGAGGTCTTAGTCTGGTCTCACTGACTTTGCTCTCCTCTCTCAAACCTTCTTATTCCTGCCAGCTCTTGAACAAAATATATAGATACGCCTGCAAATGTAAGCAAGGGGTAAAAGAGCACCACGGCAACAGCTGCTCTCAAGGACCCTCAGTCAGACCAAGAGAAGGAAGCCCTCTAAACCCAAATGGAGGAAATAAAATAAAATAATAAAATCCTTGCAGAGAGTCAACAGCCCTCTCTGGTGTCCAAATACTTAAAACCTCTTGGCTGGACCAAGAAAGGCCTTCTGCAGTAGTAAAGATGCAGTGATGTAAAAGCTACCATGTACCAGTAACCAGAGCATATACATAGGACCCCAATGCATTCATATAGCAAGGTCTAGGCTGCTTTGTGCTATTTTGTTTCTTGTCATAATCAATAGGTAAAGCAAACTTGTAATTTTATTGTTGTGAACAAATGATGAGTTCAGAAGAATGCAAGCCTCATACTGGAAGAAACTGATAGTTTAGAGCTCAGCAATGTGAGAAACCCTAGACTCATGGGAGCTGCTATTCCAGCCCTGGACTTCAGGGCTGGAGTCCTTGACTTTGCTCATGTATGTAAAAAGGCACATAACTGTGCATTGAACTGGAAAGGAGCACAGGAATCAAATTCTCAAAGAAAAAAAATATATCTGATCTGAACCACTTTTTTCTAGAGATGGCTAATTTGTTTTCCCTAATTGTTCCTCAGCTTTGCTTGATCTGTTTTTCTAATAAGATATTTCAAGTTAATGCCTTGCAGGCTTTTCTTTCCTAGGAAGTTACTCTGAGAAGATTTTTGTCTCACAGGTCTTGATCTTTCAGACCTTTATACCTGTGTTTAACTCAACATGTGATAAAAATCCCAGTTGTGGGATCATTTGTGAAAGAGACAAGCATGCACAAAAATGCTCACAGGATCTCAGGTTCACAAGGAAAAACTATATAATTGTCTAGCTGAAAACACACAATACTGAATCTATGCTGTCAAAAAGATGACATCTCTACAACACTTGGTATCTTGCTACCTATTTGTGACATTTCTAGGGGGGTGTTTTAGAAAGAAAAAGATGTTTCAAGACTGCATGAAGCATTGCCAGCCTGACTTTCACAAACATCGCTTTCCAAAATGCATATAATCAAGGGCATAATTTTAGAGGTGTTTATAGACGTGTCACAGTATTCCAACTATAACTATTAGATAACAATTTTAGTTCTGCATCATGCCCTGTAGCACCTTCACATAGCAAGCTTGTCAGGCAAGTTGAGCAATGTACGCTTATAGTACTGTTCTGGTGTAATACAGAGCAAAGAGAAGACAGTATTAGTGTCAGCTGAGAAAAAGCTTCCTTTTTTGGGGGGTGGGAGGGTCTAGACTCATAAACCTTAAGGCACTTGAGTGCAGAAGCTCCAAGCATTGCTGGAAATCACTAATTATGCAACACCACACATAGTAGGAAGGAATAAGCAAGTGCTGCTACACAAGGTAGTCCCAGTTTCATGTGAATGCTCTGGAAAGCCAGGCAACCATCACTCAAAGGAATGAGACTTAATTTGTGGTTTGGGGTGCAGGGAAGAGGTATTCACTAGTCCCATGAGCAAATAGAATTAACATTTGTCTCCAAGTATTTTGATAAATGTTTGGAAAACAAGCAAACAAAAACCTTTAATTTGCAGACTTCTTAAGACCTGTCTAAAGCATCAGCCCATTCTCAACTTGGATATTTGCTTAAATTAAAGCAGAAGCTGCTTGATCCACTCCAGTGTAACATCACACAGCATGTAAAGTTAACCTCATACATAGGGACTCTGTTGTGCAAGGAGAAGGCTGACTCAGCAAAAAATTAAGCACACAACTTATAAAAACTATAATTAAGCATACAATTAGTTTTAAGCTCTTAGGCAGGTTAAGCAAGTCATCAAGACTTCTTCACAGGTTAAGCATATAATTTCTTGGTATGTTGGACTAGGGTGCAAGCATTTGCAGTATCTTCATTGAAAGGTCTTTTTCCATATACATGCAACAGCACAGTTCACATGTATGATGGAGAGAACAGAGACAGCCACCATCCCTTTCATTCTGCTCCTATTATCTAAAACAGAGGACTCACTTTTTGCTTGCAGAAGATTAATGATGCAAAAAGCAATACACTACAAATATGTGACAACACTGAAAAGGGTTATAGCTGAAGCTACACAAACCAAAGGAGCAACAATAGAGGTGACTTAAATGGTTCTCTGCTTACTAAGGTACAGAAAGAAAATCCACTGCTGAAATCTTGCTTCAAAAGAATATGTTTTAATGATATCAAATATTTCAAGCCTGTCCATTGCAAATCGAGTCACCTTTGAGACACAGCCAAACCTTATCAACGGGTGCATTTCCAAATAAGATCAGTCAGGTTCCTGAAGTATACTTGTTTTCCAGGAACCATGCACTCTAGTTTTACTGATATGACTAAGCTGTATATCTGAAGCCTACGCATTGGCTAAATAAAGTAATAATTTTTAAGTTGAATTCTCTCAGCGTATTTCTAAGCTGAAAAAAACAGAAAGTGACTAGAAAAATTTGCAAGGTACTCAGAACAAAGAAAAAATCATTTATTAATTCATATTACAAGTTATCCACAGCTAGAGGGTGTAGGTATCCCGTTTTGGGCTTTTTTTGAAGCAGGATATGCTCTAGCTGTGTCACATTATCATACATAGCTGTTTATATGTGAATAATCAAATATATGCAGTGGAGTAGAATTTTTAGATGTAGATCAAGGGAAAAAAAACAACACAAAAAGTACTAAACCCTCTAGGCCTCTATAGAGTAAATTAAAGCACTTAGTGAGAGGAAATACTGGCATATGAGGTCTTTGAATTTCAAATATCCTTCAAAAAGAAGAGACTGCACTGCTGAGAAAGAGACAAAACACAACCATATTTCTTGGTATATCCCTTACAATTGCAAAAGGGATAGTCATTACATTAGCTTAGACTAAGATATCTTTCCATTTTTAATGCCTTATGATTATTACAGGTTTTTAAATTCCCAAGGAAGACAGCAACACATATGAAGGAGCTACTTGCATTTCAGTTTTATCTTTCTAGCTGTCTGTCAATCTAAGGGCAAATACTGGGCCTTACCCTGTACAAACCTTTGTGGCTTTACTGTATGCTTAAGCCTGCATTGCTATAAATTGTGCACATGAAGACTGGCTTTTACACCTTCAACAGATTTGCCTCCTAAATTCCTAACATCTATCCTGAAGCTCAGAGTTGTGCAAAATAGTTTTCTACTTGCCGATCAAAACTCTGAGCAGAATATTTCTGTAGTGTGTTTAAGGGAACCAATGAATACTCCTCTGCAAAACTCCTGGGAACATCATTATTTGTAACATTTCCCTGGGAGCTGGATGTCCCAGTGTCCCTGATGGTGCCATCATTGACTTCATCCATTGAGATTAATTCCTTTCTCATCCAGTAGATCAAGCCAGCTTCCACAACTGGAAGGTGGTGGTACAACAGATGTTTTCTAGAAGGATGACCTGCTGCTGAGCAAGTCAGCTCAGTACAGTCTTTGATCCAACATCGAGCAAGTTCTTGCTGCTGCCAGTAGCTGGCAGACCTAGCCAGCATTCCCATAATCTCTTCAACCTCTGTGAGTTCAGGAGTCCTAGGGAGCCTCAAAGAGACTTTACCATTGCAGTGCACACTGGTAAATGGAGCACGACTCCTAAATCTGTAAACTGCAGATGAAAACAACAAAAATAAACCAAGCAGAACAAACCAATTAAAGACCCAAAACCAAGAAAAAAACTTTTGTCTCACTGTTTTCTATAACACTTCATCGTTAAATACTGTATAGGTCCCTCATACTATCTCCCCACCCCCATTACCTTTGAGTAAGTAAATTGGTTATCACAAGACTAATGTCATTTGTCCAGAGAGTCAAATCTCAAGAAACTAAATGGTATATTGCACTCCATTCCAGTGGTTTCGACCTTCATGAAACCAACCTTTCCCGTCTTTCTAGTAAGGGCAGAGAAATCTCTGATAATCTAGACCTAGAACTAAGAGCACAGACCATGATCATAATGCTCTTAGGATTTCAATGTTCCCCAGTTCTATCCAAACCATCACAACAGTCCTGCAATCCATTTTGCTTGCTAACTTCAACTAAGTCTTAAACCAGAAGACTAGAGCCATAATAAATAAATAAAATAAAATAAAAAAGTCCAAAACAAAACAAACCAACAAAAAGCTTGGAAGAAGGTAAAACCACTCTCTCAAGCATACTAAAGGAGTCTTCATCAGGGACTGTAACAATAGGACAAGTGGTAATGGGTTCAAACTTAAACAGGGCAGATATAGGCTAGATACAGGGAAGAACTTCTTCACTGCAAGAGTGGTTGAGGCACTGGCACAGGCTGCCCAAGGAAGCTGTGGAAGTTCCATATGTGGCAGGGGACTAAGTACAGGTTGGACAGGGCCTTGAGCAACCATATGGAAGTTGCTAGTGGAGGTAGAAGGGACACCTGGTGGAAGGTGTCCCTGCCCATGGCAGGGTTGGAACTAGATGATCCTAAGTTCCTTTCCAACCCTAACCATTCTATGATTTTGCTTTCAATTCAATAGCTCAAATTATTTGATTTACTCCTGATGCTTTCCAACCCCTCTGCCCAATAGAGCAATTCTTGTTTTCTATTTATTTATGTCCTTTCTCCCAGAGATACTCCCTTTCCCTATTTCTGACCTTGAAATATTCCTAGACAGTCTTTACCTACCCCTTACAAAATTCCCAGCTGTGCCATTTGAAAGGCGTTTGTGTTGCACAGTGAAGCCTGCTCCAGGCATAGAAAGGTAGCTGGTGTCCTTCATAAGTCAGCCAGAATGATTATTACCTTGTGAGCGCTCCATGCCTATATGATACATCTGCACTTCAGGAGGACTTCTTGCATATGTAAACTGGCTGTAAGCTCTAGAATCTAACTGCCTACCAGTTATAACAAAGGCATTTGAAACAACTTTGACTTGCAGTTCTGCTACAGAGAAGTCTTTAATCTCTTCAGGACAAGAAATATCAGATCACTAGGAAACTACTGTGCTGCTGCTTCTGTAACTCCACTTCACAGGGGATAGGTGCAAACCCAATACATCCTGCACACCATTTGGTCTTAGTGAGCTGTAGATCTGATCTGCACAGTGAGAGGTTGGAAAGTAACTCCACTAAGAGTGCAGGGAACCAGCATTGACTCCAAGCAGTGATGTTATGTAAAGAGTGCCTTGACTCGAGTTTTGAAGCCAGACATACTTTACAAAAAAAGAAGGAGCAAATTCTAGAGCAAGTAGTCTAAGATCATATTTTTCTGTTTGCGTCACAAATAGGAATCTTTAGGCCTTGGAGAAAGATCCACAACAAGAAATGCAAAGATAGAAGACAACATTCTATAGGAGTCAGAGAACAGCAGCTCTGAAAACAAGGTTACAGAGCAGCCATAGAAGTGTCACCTGCAGCTCTTTTACTTTTGAGCCCTTATTTCAAGGATGTTGCATATATGCATGTGAACAAAATACATAAGGAGTTCAGTTTCAGTAGCCCCCATCTGCAACCAAAATGAAGTCAAACCCACTTTCCTCCTCACCCAATACTACTGCCCCATTCTTGTTGATCACCTTGCATGACACTGGTTTGGCCTCCTCTTTGCAACTCTGAGGTTGCCTGTTTACACCTTCTTCTCTGGGATCTAGCTAGCTGTGGTCTACCACACTGCTGGTTTTGGCTGGCTTCTCCAGTATCCTCTTCCCCAGGGGAATGGAAAGCTCTTAGTTTGCCCCCGTGAACCATTTTATTAGGATCCACCTAAAAGCTAAGAGTAAAAGTTAATGAACAGAGGAAAAGTCAGAAAGCTATTGGTCTTAGAAAACAGTAGAACACAGGTTCTAAGAGCTATAAAAGTCAGGTTTGTCGCACACCCTGTGGAGCAAAAGGGAACCCACGCAAAGGTAAATTAACACCAACAATTCTTCCTAGGCATAACAGGAACTTACCTTACAGCTTAGCTCTCCTCCCTCATAAAAGAGTATCCTTTCCTTATTCCTAAGCAAGAATACAAAGATAACCCCACTAACATGGGGAGATAGAAAAGACTAGCAGTATAAGAAGTAAATGAACCACTGGAGGAGGAGCTAACACAGCATCTTCCTGTTTGTAATCAGCAAAGCCTTTCCAGGCCTAATGAAATTGAGAAGAGAATCCACAAAAGCTGTGTATGGTGTTTGGATCTCAAAGAGGCAAAGGAGAAGGAAGGGTAAATCTTTGTCTTTGCTGAGATATGTTCAGCACTGCAGTAAGAGAATGGCAGGATAAATACTTTTGCTTCTTTGTAATATATAAGCATATTTTACAATACTGTCTTTGAAGGTTTTCTTTCAGTCTCACTCTGTGCAAGTGTCTGCTGCAGTAACTGGAGTAGCTGCTTTTTCTTCGCTTCCAAATAGCCCTTTATTCCAGATCTGGTGAAAATACAGTCTTTCTTCTAGATTATCTGACCCTTGTACAGCCCCCCTCAGGTCCAGCTAGCTTGTAGATTTTCACTAGCTTAAGCGTTAAGCTTCTTCTAGCACTTTGTAAAATTCTACTGAGACTCTTTCACAATTCCTTGAGGACCATGACTCATAATCAAAAAAACCCCTACAGTGGAGAGGAGGCAAATGTTTTTTTGCACTGCATTCTGTGTCCTAGGTGCTTTTCTCTTCAGAAAAGGCAGCTCTGAAAGAAAGGACTAAACCAAAGAAAGGCTTGTATGATTTTCCTAAGCAAATGTCACTTTGTATTTGAAAAAGCAGGACTACTTATGTCTGTGAATGGCATCTTGTCTGTGTGCAGACCCACAGACTAAGAGGTAGTCCAAAGTGGATGCATGTGGGTACAAGTTCTACAAGCACTGAAAGCTTGATGAACTTCTTTGTGGACATGGGCTGTTTTGATAATTGTGATTCTAATCATCACCTTAAAACAAAACAATGCTAAGCCCTGGGTTAGAAACACAACTGCACTGGTAAATCTTGTGTTTTCTCCTTGTCAAATTTCAGAAGCAGCTAATTGAATGCAGACTTACTAAATGACTAGCACCAGACCACAGTAAGCTCGCTTAGTTTCTGGGCTCTGCTATGTACGTGTTCAGCAATAAAATGCTTCTTTCCCTCATGATCTGTCAAAGGCAAGGGCATCGTATCATAAGTTACTGCTGGGGGAGGTGGGGGTGGGCAAGGAATGGTGGCCCAGAAGTTGAGGTGGGCGAAGGCTTGATGATCCAGCTCATATGACCTAATAGACTGTGTCACTGCCTTTGGGAAATACAAGCCTCCTGACACATGCCCTTGGCTGGAAGGTCAGAATAAAAAAGACCAAGCACAGCAAATGAAGCCCTCCAGCTGAGAAAAATAATCCAGCCATGGATTGGCAAAAGATTTATTTTTCCCCAACTTCTTTTTCTTTTCTTTTTTCTTTTTGTTTTTTTACATTTTTAGACTTGATGTGTTGTTGTAGTGCACTTCACATCTGATTAAATTAGTCACATTGCATTATGCCATATCAAATGTGACATGTTGCAATGGTATGTGAACAGCATATAAAGATGCACTGGCATCACAGAGCTGGTATCCTGCTTCTGACTCACACTGGTGTGCTAGCAGCAGGTAAGGGAAGCAAAGGTCCAAATCTTTCCTTGTTATTAAGTCATGCTTTTGCAGCTGGTCAGTAGCTTCTTGTATAGTTACTTAGCTTTGTATCCAATTAACAATCAGCTACTCCAAGAAACTCTTAACTACCTTTCCTGAAACACCCCACCCACCTGCTTGTGATAATACAGAAGGAAGTATGTGACTAGGATTCAGCCCATCCCTTACAAGCATACTAAATAAGCTAGCTAAAACAAGACTAGCAAGATGTAGAGCATATATATAATTGTACCAGACACAGAACAGGGTAGAGGCATCATGCTATTTCTTACATACACACGGTGAGTATTATTCTTGGGACAGCAGGAATCAAACATCAGGAAACCCTAAATTGTAGCTCACTGACTAAGCACCTCCTGTTAGTCTTTTATCAGCACAATTCTTGTGGGGCTCTGCAAGGAATTAAGCTACTACACCCATGTAGAGCACAGACAAAGCATTAGTATGATATGCCACCTCACTTGGGGTAAATGACTCCCCTCCCGTCTCACACACCTCCCCCTGCCATGGACACATAGATCAATGGATTAGAGAAAATCTGTGCTAATTTTATCTGGACTACAACGCTACAAATGCACAGCTTAATTTGTATTTGCTGTGGACTTGATGTGTTATCTGAGATTCTTGCAGGATACCTGGAAAGAGACAAGAACAGTTTCAGGAAGAAGATTTGTTGAACTATCTAACTGCCAAAGAGCCTCTAGCGTGTTGCTTTTTTCTTTCCATGTTCCCTAGAAGTCAATAACAGTAGCCACTACATTGCAAATAATAGAGCCTTCCTATGAAAGGACTACCTAAGAGGTTAGTAAAGCCATATGGTTGGATAATCCACACTAAAAAAATAGGAAGGGGAAGTGCAGAAGAGGTGAGGGTCTCTGTGTTGCTGTTTCCACACATGAAGCTGAGGAAGTAGGTTGGCATAGCTGGGAGGTTGCAGTAACTGATTTTCAGTGAGTCTGGTTGTAATGCACACGCTCATTACTTTTTCTTTTCTGTGGTTCTTTTGTAACATTGGTCTTTCTTGTCCTGGAAGGGAATGGACAGGTTCTGACAACTTCTGTGGTACATCTCTCACAGTGGAAGTCCTATCGCCTCTGGTATCTGGGCACTGTGTTGTCAGATAAGTACACAGTTACAGTACAGCTGTGAGCAGAGTAGTGTCCAGATTACATAAGTTAAAGTTGTTTTCAGTTTTTTAACCACAACTTAATGTTTGGTTTGCAGACACTGTCGTATCCAAAAGTGTTCAATCCAAACGTGGATCCAGATTCATGTACTGAATTTCATGATGGCATTGTTCAGGATTCTTTTCCTTCCAGTTTCCAGTGTTAACTGAGGTCAGATACCGTACTAAGTGTGTTTGTGCATGTGTGTGTGGAAGTCATGGTGCTTAATGACAAATTTGTTGGAGTAACTAAAATTTGAGTTTGGCCCAAGATCATTGCTCTACAGTTATGAACAAGCTAATACACCAGAGTGCCTAAACCCGCAGACCTTGAAGAAAGAACCCAGCATAGGGGCTCTCCAAGGAGCTGAGCCCACTAAGCAATTCTAGACCTGCTCTCCTTTGAAAGCTTTTAAAAGAAAGCTGTAACCGACATGGATATGTTTCTCTTTATTTTTCCCATTCCCTGTACCTGGCTAGTTTTGCATCTTTTCCAGTGTGCGGTCCAGAAAGAGAGGACCAGTCCCACTCGTATTTTGCCCTGGCTTCCCTTTTCTGTTTGTCTTTCTATGGTTCCTCTTTCTTCTCATTCAAATCCATACATATTTAGCAGATGAAATGAATAGCAAAAGGCAACTGTGTTGTAATTAATGCACGTATGTAAAACCAGTGCCTGCATATCTGACCTTTCCATTTGTCTAAATTTGGCTGCGTATAAAAGAAACTTCCAACACAATTTTCCATTGGTAATGACGTGTTTATGATTGTACTGAACTGCAACACCTTCTATTTTCTGATGGACAAATAGAGTAAGGAGGATGGTGATCGCCAAACCAGCTCTGGATCTGAGGTAACCCCATGCAGTACATCTCCAGAAATTTGAATTAGTTCCAGGGCAACTAAGTTGTGCTGTCAACACTCCCTGGATTCAGCTGCTTGACTAGTCCCTATTCTGGACTTCGGAAATTTGAAAGAAATGCGTGAATGCTCAATCATACACTCACACTTGAAGCACGTCTGATGGGAAGCAAAGGACTGATGTTCAAAGCAGGCTGACGGGAACATGTTCACAAAAGAGAATCTTTGGAGTAAGAAAGAGATTTCATATAATAATATTTGTGGATTTAGAGAATACTGTTACCAGCTCCTTGTGAAGGTCAAGGCCCAGTTTAAGGCTTATAACAGGGGAGCAATCTGGAGTTGCAAAGCAGTGCTTCTGTAACCTGCTCTCTAGCTCAGACATGAGCTTCCTCAAAACCATACAGAGCTGGCACTGGAGCCATGCACAGTAAAAAAAAGGCACCACAAGCTGGACAGCATAGATCAGATAGGTCCTGAATTAGAAACACTCTTGCCATGGAAGAACTTTCTTACCATATGGCATCATCAAAATGGAATACCTCCCTACTTACCCCTTTACTGGGTATATCCCTGAATGGAATAAATCGCATCTAACAGCCTAGGCAGACCTTTCCTGAGACTTAGGAAGTAGGATGGTACATGAGTGGACTACCTGGACTTTGGCTGCTCATGACTCCACAAGAACCTGGTATTTGAGTGGCTGCAGTTTGTTTTGGAATTGCTATAATTCACACCAGAGACGATGCTGGCTCCAATCCAGGCCAAGATCTATGAGGAGCACAGCCGAGACACAGCCTCTCTGATTCTCCTGGCTCATGAGACACATCCAGCCAGTAAAAATGGGGAAATCTGACACTGCACCAGCAGTAAAGCTAGGATTTTGACTGCCATTCAACCATTTGATTTGTCTAGAGACCTGGTATGCATATCTCAGCAGTGGGGAAAACAGAGGAAATACAATTTAATACTGAAGTCACTGGAGTAGAAAAGCTGTGACATCACCCTCCCTCTTCACCCACTTGCTTTAGTCTGATAAGAAAGGAGCTTCCAAAGGGCTTCCAGGAACGTATTTGCACATGTGGACATGACAGTCACAGCATGGCCATTGACACAACAGGAGCTGTGAGTAGCTCCAGCCACCAACAAAGTTTGTGCGGCAGAGGCACATATGGGGGAACACATCAGGGAGCAGGATCCTCTGCCTTCATAGGAAGAGTGGGAGGTAAATAAAAAACCCAGTGAATTAAGACTACTATTGCTGCTGTAAAAAAATAGGGAAACTAATGTTTGGTCATTCCTGAGTCGAGAAAGCACGAACACTGCTGGAAGGCTGGGCTAAATGAGGAGGAATTGGAATTAAGCCTAGCTCATATGAGGCCACAAAATTAGGTGTGTAT